CACCTCCACCACCGTCACCTCACAGATGACAGGACGGCAGTGACTTTGGTGGCAATAGTCCAGTGGAGTGGGGGGGATGGGGCAGGATGTGGATGGTTTCAGGAGTAGTTACGGAGCATTTTAGGCTATTCTGGGGTAACAAGTTGTCCCCCAAGCCTCAGGGGCCCAATATAACAGATGTTGTGCAGATTATGCAGACACAACTCGTTAGGTAAATGAGCGCGCTGTGGCCTGGCATCTTGTGGCTCTGCCTCGTGCTCCACTTTACAGGTCACCCACAGAAAAAGAGCCCCCCTGGGCCACAGCCCTTTGCCCAGATGGAGCAGCATGGTCCACCGAACTGCAAAGAGCAGTCCCCCTGCGGCCGGGACTGAGCAACGAGGGGACCCCGAGTCAAGGAAGGGTGTCCTAAAGATGCTCGTGCAAAAGATCCGGAAGAGGCGAAACTGGTGATCGGGAATTCAAGACAAACGGAGAACTGACCTCAGCCCCTGAGAAAGAGGAGAGGACGGATGCCAAGCAGGAGAGGGGCTACAGCAGGGCCCTCCTTGTCCAGCAGAGGGAACTCTGCGAGCATGGTCGTGGGGGTTGTGGTGGGGATAAAGGGGAGCCCTCCTCATCTGAGAGCTTCCGCATGCCCAGCAACTAGCTGAGAACAGGGCAGGAGAAACAGGAGGCTGGCGCTGGAGGCCAGAGAACGAGGGGAGGTTGGCTGGATGGCTGGATGTCACTACTCCAGCAGCCTTCTGTTTGGGGTCCCTCACTTCCGACCCTCTCGGCCACACCCAGCCTCCTGCTGGCTGCCAAGGAGATGACTGGGCCCAGCACAGGGTGTTATCCTCTTGTCCCTCTCGTGTCCTGCCCTGGGAGCTCCCCTGAGTGCTGGCAAGTCCCCAGCTCAGAAGCCTGGGGGAGCTGGCAGTCCTTCGTCCAGGAGAAAGAAGAGCTGGTGGCACGTCCCCCTGCTCTGTGGACGATCCCCACAGGCACTGACGCGCTTCTCATGTGTCTCGCTTGGCCACAGCAGCTCAATGACACGGCCATCTTGGCTGTACCCCATCCTGCTGCCTTCCTCTTGTCCCTCAATGACATAATTTTGTTTTTCTCTGTGGCCCAGGAGGATTTTCTTTGTCCTCACCGTCGATGGACACCCAGGCTGTTCTGCTGTGAACTGGGCTGCTGTACACGTGGGTGTTTCTCTATCACTTACCTGTGGAGGGAGGTGACCCTAATTCTTCAGGGTAGACACCCAGGAGTGGTGGAGCTGGGCTCTATGGTGTTCCCAGGTCTGACCTTTGGGGGAATTCCGTCCTGATTTCCATGGTGGTTGTTCTAATTTACAACCCCACCAATAGCGGAGGTGTTCCTTTCTCCTCTTCAGCACTTACTGCTATTTGATTCTTGATAACTGCCATTCTGACCGGTGTGAGGTGAAATCTCAGTGTAGCTGTGATTTGCATTTCCCTAATGCTAATGATAGTGAGCATTTTTTATATATTTGTGGCCATTTGTATTTCTTCTTTGGAGAAGAGTCTGTTCAGTTCATTTGCCCATTTATTAGTTGGGTTATTCGACTTTTATCAAAAAGGTTTTTGAGCTCTGTATATATTCTAGATATTTATCCTCTGACAGAAGAGTAGCTAGCAAAGATTTTCTCCCATTCTGTAGGTTCTCTCTTCAAATTCCTAACTGTTTGCTTTGCTGTGCAGGAGCTTTTGAATTTAATACCATCTCATTTATTATCTCTCAGCATTATTACCTGAGCTTTAGAGGTCCTGCTGTGAAAGTCCTTGCCCATGCCTGTATGCTGGAGTGTCGACCCTGTGTTTTCTTCTAGGAGTTGTACAGTCTCTGGTCTAATTCCTAGGTTTTTTGATCCATTTTGAGTTGATTTTGTGCAGGGTGGGAGATAAAGCTCGTCTCACTCTACAGTATAGAGAACCAGTTGTCCCCGCACCATTTGTTAAAAAGTTGTCTTTTCTCCAATGTATGCTTTTGGCAACTTTGTCAACAATCAGATAAGTGTAGATGGGAGGATTTGTCTCTATGTCTTCTATTCTGTACCATTGGTCTATGCGTTTTATGCTAGTACCATGCAGTTTTTGTTACTATAGCTCTCTGGAACATAATTTGAAGTCAGGTATTGTGATGCCTTCAATATTGCTTTTGGCTTACAATTATTTTGGCTATTCTGGGTCTTTTATTCTTCCAGATGAATTTTAGGACTAATTCTGTGAAGAATGTAATTGGTATTTTGATGGGAACTGCACTGATTCTGAATATTAATTTTGGTAGTATAGCCACTTTAACAATATTCTGTCTATCCATGAACGTAGGAGGTTTTTCTACCTTCTTTTGTCTTCTTCTATTTATTTCTCCAGTGTTCTATAGTTTTCATTACGGAGGTCTTTCATCTCCTTGGTTAGATTTATTCCTTGAGTTTTATTTATTATCTGTCTATTGTGAATAGACTTGTTTTGCCAATTTCTTTTCAGGAGATTTATTATTGGTACATAGGAAAGCTCCTGATTTTTGTATGTTTATTTTATAAACTGCTACTTTGCCAAATTTGTTTATTAGCTCTAGAAATCTTTCGGTAGAGGTTTGTTTGTTTGTTTGTTTGTTTTTTGGATCTTCTAGGTAGAGGATCATATTATCTGCAGACAGTGATAATTTGATTTCTTCCTTTCCATTTTTTATCCCTTTTATTTTCTTCTCTTCCTTAATTGCTCTCCTAGAGATTTCTAGCACTATATTAAATAGGAGCGAACTTCCTTGTCTTGTCCCAGATTTTGAAGGAAATGCTTTCAGTGTTTCCCCATTTACTGTGAGGTTGGCTTTAGATTTTTCATGTACAGCCTTTATGATGTTCAGGTAGGTTCCTTCTATCCCTAGTTTCTTCAGTGTTTTTATCATGAATGGGTGCTGCATTTTGTTGAAGGCTTCCTCTGCATCTACTGAGATGATCATGTGATTTTGTCCTTAATTCTATTTATGTGACAAATTACATTTATTGATTTTTTAAAAATATTTTGTTTTAGTTGTAGATGGACACAATACCTTTATTTTATTTGCTTATTTTTATTGGTGCCAGAGATCAAACCCAGTGCCTCAGGCATGCTAGGCAAGTGCTCTACCACTGAGCCACAACCCCAGTCCCCATTTATTGATTTGTTTATATTAAATCATCCATGCATCTCTGGAATAACCAACTTGGTCGTGGAGTACAATCTTCTTAATATATTGTCGAGCACAATTTATTAAGATTTCATCAAATATTTTTGCATCTAATTCATCAGGCACATTGGGGTTTACATAAGTATGCAATGGTCCAGCTGAGAAATGAACCAATAAGATATATCTATTAAAAACGTACTGTCAGTTGTTGGTCTGCACACATGGTGGAGGCCAGCTAGGCAATCCACATGCCACAGGCAGCCCAAGGAAAGGCAGTTAATAAATCATTTCCCTCTCTCTTGGGAAAAATCTTGGAAATAAAAACCTTGTGATGCAGCTACTTTGGAAAACAGTCTGGAAATTATTCAAAAAATTAAGGACAGAGTTACCATACACAGTTTCACTCCCAGGTAGGTACTCAGGAGAATTGAAAGCTCATGTCCACATAAAAACCTCTGCATGAATATTCAGGGCAGCACCATTCATAATAGTCAAAAAGTAGAGATGACATAAAATGTTTACCAGTTGATGAATAGTTAAACAAAATGCAGCATTTCTGGGGCTGTGGCTGTGGCTCAGTGGTAGAACATGGGCCTAGCACGTGTGACACACTGGGTTTGAGTCTCAGCACTGCATATAAATAAATGAACAAAATAAGCCACAATCCCAGCCCCAAGTTGTGTTGACTTTTTTTTCTCCTTAACTTTGTCAGACATAATAGCACCACTGAAGCAGGTGAACAGTTCACCTTCAGTGAACAGTTCCCGATGCCTCTTCTAGATCAGGCATACACAGAACATTCTGGCACTTGAGAGGCTCAGCCCTGGCCCCTCTCTGTACCTAGTGCCACCCCCAAAGGTCTGATATCACTCCAGACGGATTTGCCTTTTCTTGACGTCATATAAACAGCATCGTGCATGCCTGGGTCTTGCTTCTAACCCTGGACCTTTTGTCTGAGGTGCATCTGCGTTGCTGTAGTTCAGGATTCTTCGTTGCTGTTTGCGTTCCGTTATATTAATATGCCACCATTTATCCATTCTACTATCAATGACACTTCAATTGTTTCCTGTTTGAGACTATTGTGAATAAAAACTTACACTTTCCTTCTTTCTTTTTTTTCTTCTTTTTATTTCCTCAGTGCTGGAGACCCATCCCAGGGCTTGGTATGTGCTCTACCCCTGAGTGACATTCCCCGCCCCCAGAGTAACACTAACTGTTACAGTTAGAGAAAGCAGACACACCTTTCCCTGCAGCCTGACTGGAGGAGGCTCATGAGTGGGGGCCTGGAAGTCCCTGCCCATCCTGCCTGCCCCAGGGAAGAAATAGAAGGGCCCCGGCCACCCCTTCCTCTAGCAAACCTGAAGCAGACCACTGGGTCAGCCTCCTCAGGAAGCATAAATCCACTCAGACTCATAAGGGACAAAGTTTCCCAAGCATTTGGCTGAACTCAGGTACTAAAATCTAAATGTAGAGTAATATATTGGAAAGTAAAAAACTGAAAGGCAGTCAGATAACCCCTTAGCTTGTCTTGAAGTTTCGTGAGGTATTCTGAAAGCTTGTATCTTTCTTAAGTTTATTTCAGAAAAGCTAAACCGTAGGCCTAATCTAGAGAAGGGTTTGGCCTTGACCCTCACGAGGCTCTCCGTGTTTCTCCAGTGGAGGTACCAGGCTGCCCGTCTCTGTAGAAGCCTCCTTTGACCTCTTGAACTCCTGGACTCCACCTGCTAGTTGGAGCTCATGGGGAGGGGCCTCTGGGAGGTGGCCATGCCCTGTGATGTCACCAGGCTTTGTGAGGTGACCTAGTGCTGCATTTTAAGCACCACTGTATAGCCGGGACCACCTAGGATAATCCAGCACCATACAATCTGCCATCCAGAAAGTTCCACCTTTCAGTCCAGTCCCCCAGGCTCCCACCTAATTTTGCCTATGACTCCACTTGGCAAATCCAACACTGTCAAAGCAGAGGATGCAGGGAGTGTGACCTCAATGGTAGGTGGAGGGAGCTGGTGTGCTAGAAAGGGGAGGACCAAGATGTGGGGGGAGTCCCCCTTCCAGGGAACCCTGACATTATCCTAATGCTGAGGAATCGGGAAGAAGATGTCTTCAAATCTCCAAAGGGCAGCATGCATCCAGGCTAGTTATGTCACCCTAGAGAGGGAGGAATGGGAGTAGCGACGGCTTTCGTTCTTGAAGAACAGCCCGGTCTTCTCTATATACTCCTTTGAGATCTTAACATGTCTATAAATGAATGTGTTATTATTTAAAATATTCAGTAAGGGGAAAAAACCTTTAAAGTATCAGAGAGGTGTAGCCCTTACGTGGAGATCAGTGTTAACATTGTCCCAGGAAGGCCAGGAGTTAAAAAATACTAATTATCTACTTAAAAAATTAGTCATGGCATTATTTAAAGCAAGGTCATCTTTTCCTAACTCTAAAATCTCACATTTCAAAACAAACTCAATGTCTGTAAATCCAGATTCCCCCATGTGTGTATCTGTGCCTGTGCGTATGAGTGTGCACACGCGCACATGTCGATGGTAATTAATTGCCTTCTTTTCTTCTTTACGGGATCCTTTTAGGTAGTTCCTGATTCTCTTTAGTGTACTTAACATTTTATTAACTTAACATTTCAACATATAAATCATTGTTGAAATAGGTTTTAAAAATCAATTCTGTGTCCTTCTATCATGTAAATTATATTTTAGTGAAGAAAATAACTGAACATGATTTTCTTCTGAAGTTAATAAAAAAAAAAAAACCAATCACAGGCCTCTTAGACCTATCCCTTAGATGAGAGGTTTCCTGCATTTCGTGGGAGTGGTGGAGGGTGGGTTGGGAGGAGAAATGAACACTCCAGAGAACCAGGGTGAGCTCTGTTTAAGAGAATGGACCACGAGGATTGATCTTGGTAAAATAAGAAAACCAGAGAGGGACTGTTTCCACAAGTGTTTGCCCCTTAAGAGAAATCCCTCCAAGTTTTTTTTAAAAATTAGAATCCTTGAGAACATGGACTTGTTTTTCTGTAATAATCTGAGCCTATAAATACACTAACTCTGACCGTAAGATCTGGTTACGCGTCTTGTGTATTTTGTCATTTGGGTTTTGGAGAACGTTAACACAGAATTTTCTCAAAATTTATACATTTAATAGGAATGTGGAAATAATATAAATTAAGACAGCATCCTTCCTTTTTCGGTTTTTGGTTGATTTATTGATTTGTTTGATTCATTGTTGGTTCTGAGGCTAGAGCCCCAGGCCTCACCCCAGCTAAGTAAGTGCCCTCACCCTGAGCTCCACCCGCAGCTCTCTGTGTTTTAATCCACCATTTCCCTGGGTTAGAATTTTCCCCATCTATTATACATTTGTTATTCTTTCTTTGCATAATCAAATATTTCATTTGTAAAGTATTGTTCATTCAGCCAAAGAATGTTTATTGTGCATCCAGTATCTCTGCCAAGTGTTAGCCCTGTGTCCTGGGAGAACACTCCTGTACTGCGAAGCACTCTCTATTCTAACCTTAGACTCTCCCACCTTGATGCAGCCTCCTCAGGGACTCAGCCCCCACAGGTGGCCCTGCCCCTGCTGGTTGGCCATAACTGACCTACAGCCCCTGGATATGAGTTCTCCTCCCTCTCTTAGCAGCCCAGCACTTCCCAGCTGGGGTATGTTGTGACCCCAGGTACTGATCTGGTGGTCAGAAGGTGGGAATGTTTGCCCAGCACAGGAACGTGATAGGTAGAACACACTATATTTGTATATGTCGTTTGTATGCATTGTTTACACACGGGTGCATCTGTAAACAGTGGCACTGCTTCTTGTGTTTTCCAAATTCACATCATGTTCTGCTTGCACATTATGATTTTTAGGTTTCACAATATTAGTGCATGTAGTTTCAGTTGATTTATTCCATCAGCAAATGAAGAGCCTCACTTTGCCACTTCTATTGAGAAAAAGCTAAATTGAATCTCATTTTAAACCAATATCCACATTACTTCAATTAGCATTCTTGTAAATGTCTCATGATGGACAGCTTCTTTACCTTATGTATATATCTTCTTTACCTTATGTATATATTGCCAAAAGAGTTATGCAAATTTGTAGTCCCTTTGGGAGCGGACCATAGTTCTCATTATCCATATTCTCTGTAGCATGTGACACTGCATGTCTTTACATTTTTAACTTTTTGACTGGTGACATATCAGATTTTTTACAGATGTACACTATCTTTGCAAAATGGGTTGGGCATGGAGATGAGTGAGGCATTTTTCACATTATTTCACTCAGGAGTAGGGGCTGAGGACTTTAAATATGTGCTATTTCTGAATGTTAAATAACCTTGTAAACATCTATTTTAAGATTTTTTTGCTAATTAGAAAAGCAATATGCTTTATGTATATGATAAGGACTGATATCAAGACGGTTATGTTTTTTAAACACTGGAAAGCGGATTTAACTAAAGTAGATGAAATCATTGAAATATCTAACACTGTTTCTCTTAAATTTTCTGATTTAGGAAACTGAAGAACTGACATTCAAAAATGCTAGGTTTACACTGAGAAATATCTTAATCCAGTGTTTGTTCTGTGCGTTCCTGTTGTTTGGGATCTGGATACCTCCGTTATTCATATATTTCCACCATCACCATGAGAGCTACCAGAATAATACCCAGGAGTCTGAATCACTCTTGTCCCTTGAAAAATATGGGCATCAACAAATCCTCCACAACCCAGGACAAATACCAAGACCCCAGGTAGTAACTAATCCTTCCGACAAAGAGGAGCCTAAAAGCCCCAGTCTTCTTTCTCTGAAATGTAAGTATTTTGATTTTTTTTCTGTTAGGCCTTTAAGGGGGAAAATACACCACACATCTAACATGTGGGTCCAGGGGGAAGACAGCAGGTTCGAGGACGGCATGCCCCAGGTGTTCCTCTGCTCAGATCCAAGTAGCAGTACTGCTCCTCGGTGAGGTGGTGATTGAGGGAATTCACTGACATTCAACACTGGACAGTAAAGTAATCACAGACACAGAAATTCAGAAGCTCTAAACACAAAACAAGAAACAATATGATAGAGACACACCGAGTTGGCTGATGTTGGTCGCACTGTCCCTGCCAGTCCACTGCAGGGAGCACAGGAGGAGAGGCTGGGGAGAACCTGTGGAGTAGAACCTTAGACCCAGAGATGGTGGGGCAGGTTGAGGATTGAAACTGATCAGAATCTCAGCCTGCCAGCCAGGTCAGGGTGGGAACCAACTGCAGGTGGCCGCAGGGCAGCATGCAGAGGTGAGAGACCAGGAGCTGATAACAGGTGTCTCCACAATGGTTGGCAGCTTGGTGAGAAACACAGAGAAGTCAGATTTAACAAGCCCCGGTCCCATACCTGTGGTGGAGTTCAGACCCGTGTGGCTGAAACAGGTGCAGGGAGGATTGTGCCTGTGGTGACTGAGGCTGGGGAACTGAGGGGAGAGAGGCCCGAGTTCCCTTTGTTGCTGGTCACCCACAGCTTGGAAGAGGCCAGAAACTGGTCAGAAGGCACTTCTGCACTCCAGGTCTGACTCTGGGAAACTCACACCCATGGTGGTGGAATATGTAAGACCTGCAGAGAATGAGATTTCCTGCTCTGAGAATGGGTTGGGGAGGTTCCTGAGATCCAGACATCCAGCAGAGATGAGCATCTACTCAGCAACACGGCATGTATGTTTAACCTCGAATCCTTCCAACAAAGTTCCTAAGACAGCCGGAACCAAGCCCCAGCCACAGGACTTCCCATTTAGATCTCCCCATCAGGCCCACTCTGGGGTAGACTATCCAGACAAAACTCCGATTTTCAGTCCTCCTCAGTCTATCCCATCTTACGCTGTGAGCCAGGAAGCTGGGAGGTATTACCACCAGCTTTGGTTCAGACCCCAATGGCTGGCAGCTTGGTGAGAAACACAAAGAAGTCGGGTTTAACAAGCCCTGGTCCGTGGTCCAACGGGTACACAGCCCCAAAATAAATGCAAAGAATGGCCCAAAAGTGTAAGAAATAAACATCCACCCCTGCCACCACTTTAAAACACCATAATCCCTTCATTTTTTATTAAATTTTCCCCCTTTTTTAAAAAAAAGAATATATTTAAAAAAATTTTTCCATTCTGTGTGTGTAGGTTCTGGTCATGCTAATAGATTCAAGGATACAGATGTATTCATATAATTTTTCTTTCATTTTAATTGCTTTTTCTTCACCCATTTGTTATGTAGCCTGTTTTGAATTTGAAGGGTAGGTTTTATATGGGGTTCTTGGGTTTTTTTTTTTTTTTTTGGTGGTGCTGGGGATTGAACCCAGGTCCTTGTGCATGCAAGGCAAGCACTCTACCAACTGAGCTACATCCCCATCCCTGTATCTTTGTTTTTGTTTCTCTTATCACTCCTTCTTCTTTAAGGAGAAAATACACCACAACTCTGACATGTGGGTAGACTGTCAAATTTCCTTGTTCCTTCTTCCCCTCTCTTTTTTCCTCTTAGACTTTTATTTATTTATTACTCCTCCTTCTCTATGGCTGTCATCTGCTACCTCTCTCCTGCACCCTTGCCTTCCTACTTCATTTCACCTTCTTTACTTGCCTTCCTACTTCATTTCACCTAAGGAAATGTAATTATGCTACCTTTTAGAACAATTTGTTTGATATAATTCCTACTCCCCACCATCAGCGTTGGTGTGGTTATTAACACAGTGGATGATGTAGTTGACAATTACTGTTCAATATTAGATCTGATTCACAATTGTTTGTTGTTGGTGCTGATGTTAAATACTGACCCCACCATTTCTCTTTTTATGGCAACTAGTCTTACAGATTTCATAGTAGACAACGGACATTTATCTTAATCCATCTCAATAGGTGTGCTAGTCCAAGACCTCTGAGAACATGAGGAAACAGGCAAACAAGTCTTCCCCCCAGCTACAATCCCCCAACAAAGTAACCCATAGCTAGGGAAATGGATGAAATTCCAGAGAATTGCTATAAAAATTCAGTTAATAAAATGTTCAGTGAGCTAAAACAAGATCTAAGGAATGAGTTAAGAGAGCAAATACAGAAACTGAAAGACAATTTCAATAAAGAGACCAATCAGAATTCCTGGAAATGAAAGACTACTGAATGAAGTTTAAAATCCACTTAAAATTATCAACAAAGATTGTATTATGTAGCAAATAGAACTTCAGACCTTGAAGACAGTGTATATAAACTTGACTACTCAGTATGCAATAAAGAAAAAAATAAAAGACCACAATCAGAATATACAAGAGCTCTGGGACAACATCAGGAGACCAAACCTGAGAGTCATTGGGATATATAGGAACATGGAGTCAAGGGAACATATGGATATAATGACCAAAGGCATTAAGAAGCTTTTCAGTGAAACAACAGCAGAAAATTTTCCTAACCTTAGAAATGAGATGGACATGCACATACAGGATGTATATAGAACCTCAAATAGACAAGATTTTTTTTAAAAAAAAAAAAAAGGTCTCTAAGACATATCATAATTAAAAAGCCAACCATAGAAAATAAGGGAAGAATATTAAAATCTAAAGAGAAAAAATATTGGCTCACACTTCTTTAAGTGAGCCAATAAGGCTCACTTCTGACTTCTCAAATTGGATACTAAAATAAGATATTCCAAGCCATAAAAGACCACAATGGTCAGTCAAGATTGCTATAATACAGCAAAGCTATCTTTCAGATTTGAAGAAGAAATAAAACTGTTCCATGATGATAAGGATAAACTAAAAATACTCATGATCACTAAACCAGCATTAAAAAAATACTTGAAGATATGCTACACACAGAAGAACTCAAAAATAAATCCCAAAACTCTCAAATTGATGAAGCTTTCTAAAAGAGCAATTAGCTAAGTGAAAATTAAGACCTAATTATTTAATTTGCTTTATTTAAAGCAAACACACAAAAATGACAGGAAAAAATAAGCATCTACCCTTAACACTGAATGTAAATGGCTTCAACCCCCCAATTAAAAGACATAGATTCACAGAATGGATTAAAAAACAAGATCCAAATACATGCAAAGACATCCACCAACTGAAAGTATAAGGATGGAAAAGGATATTCTATAAAAATGGAGTTCAAAAACAAGCAGGAGTAGCTACTCTCATATCTGACAAAGCAAGCTACTCTCATATCTGACAAAGCAGATGTCAACAAAATAATCAGAAGACACAAAGAGGGCTGCTATATACTGGTAAAGAGAACAATCAAAGAGAAGATATAATGACTGTAAATGATTATGCCCCAAATGTTGGTGTACATAATTACACACACACACACACACACAAACACAAACACACAAACACACTCATCCTGAAAATTGATCCCAGATAGACCTGAATACAATAATATTGGGTGATTTCAACACAGCACTTTCACCAAGAGACAGTTCATCTAATAAAGAGACTTCTAATCTAAATAATATTATATATTATATCTAAATAATATTATAAGTCAAATGGATATCCACATAATATTTTGTCCAATGGACATCTACAGAATATTTCACATCAAATTGAATTCACTTTCTTCTCAGCAGCTCATGGGACCTTTTCCAAAATAGACCGTATTCTAGATCACAATGTAAATCTTAGCAAATACAAAAAGCTCAATATAATCCCATGCATTTTATTAGACCATAATGGAATGAAATTAGAAATCAACAGCAAGAAAAGCTATAGAAACTACATAAACACATGGAGATTGAACAAAGAATACTTTTTTGATATAGTAGGGATTAAACCCAGGGGCACTTTACAATTGAACTACATCCCAGTCCTTTTATATTATTTTTAAATTTGAGACAGTGTTGTGCTAAGTTGCTTAGAACCTCATCAAGTTGCTGAGGCTGGCCTCAAACTTGAAATCCTCCTGCCTCAGCCTGTCAGGTCACTGGGATTACAGGCACCCCATGAACAATACTCTCTTAAATGAGGAATGGATCATAGAAGAAATAAGAAAAGAAATCAAGAAATTCTTAGAAACAAATGAGAACAGATACAACATATCAAAATCTCTGGCACAGTACAAAAATAGTTCTAAAAGGAAAGTTTATAGCATTGAATGCATATATTAAACAAGAAAAACTACTGGTATGACTACACCATGTACAACAGAGGAATGAAAAGTTGTGCTCCATTTGTGTACAATATGTCAAAATGCAGATGCAGTCTATTGTCCTATATAACTAATTAGAAAATTTTTTTAAAACCAACAAAAAGATCCCAAATAAACAATAAATAATGCAATCAGTAAATGGGGGGAAAAAAAACATGAACAGACATTTCTCCAAAGAAGAAATACAAATGGAGAAATACAAATGGCCAACAAATACATAAAAAAATATTTAACATTCCTTGCAAACAGGGAAATGCAAATCAAAACTACATTGAGATTTCATCTCCCTCCAGTTGGAATGGCAGCCAACAAGACTATAAATGCTGGAGAGAATGTGGAAGTAAAGGTAACTCATACGTTGTTGGTGGAACTACAAATTAGCACGATCACTTTGGAAAACAGTATGGAGATTCCTCAAAAGACTAGGAATGGAACTCCATATGACCCAGCTGTCCTACTCCTTGGTATTTATCCAAAAGAACTAAAATCAGCATGCAATAATGTTCAGGTACATCAGTGCTTGTATCAGCACAATTCACAATAGCCAAGTTATAAAACCCAGGTGCCTATCAACAGATGAGTGAATTAAGAAAATGAATAAATACACAGTGGAGTTTAACTCGGCCATAAAGGAGAATGGTAAAGTGATGGGAGCAGAGAACATTGTGCTGAGTGAAATAAGCCAGACTCCTTGAATTGGACCACATTATGCCATGTACGTGTTTGAATATTCCAGAATGAATTCCACCTTTATGTATACCAATAAAACACCAATTAAAAAAAATTAATAGGAGGAAGACCAGTAGAGTGGAGGAAGGGAAATGAGGGGGTGGGAATAGGAAGTACTGGGGATGAAGGGGAGAAAATTATATTCCATGCATGTGTGATTATGCCTAATTATAAGGAATTAATAAAAAACTTAAATTAAAATTATATTCCATGCATGTGTGATTATGCCTAATTATAAGGAATTAATAAAAAACTTAAATTTTAATATTTGAAACAGTAAGAGAATGTCCTTTTAAAGGCAACTTAATTTTTAAATTATAAAATATTTAATATGCATATATACTCATCACAGAAAATAACAAAATAAGCATGCATGCATTTACTACCTAAATTTAACTTCTTTTTATAGTTTGCTGTATCCACCTCAGGTAGCCTTCTGTTCTTCAAAGGAGTAAATTTCAACAATACAGTCAAAACCTGCCCCCCTCTTTTCTTCCCCACCCTCCAGCCTCAGGGGGAACACCACTAAATTGAGGAACAGGTGCCTCTGCACGATTTTACCTTTGCTATTTCTTAAAGGTGTGTTTCTATTGCCGAATTCTTACTTTTTCTTCATTTGAGAATGTCTGTATTCTTCCATAATTACTGAAGGATATTTTTGGTGGATATGGAATTTGCTGTGGTCAGCAGTTCTTTTCTTTGAACATTTGGAAGTGTTTTGCCATTTCTGTCTGTTCCCTGTGGTTCTCCGAAGAGAATTCCATTCAAATTGGTGTTTGTCAGCTGGGCCGGGGTGCACACCTGTACTCCCCAGCACTTGGGAGGGCAAGGCTGGAGGATCACCTGAGCCCACAAGTTCAAGACCAGCCTGGACAGCATCGCAAGACCCTGTCTCAAAGAGCAAACAAACGAGCACAAATTCATGTCTCTAAGTATCACATCACCTCCCCTTGGTTGTCAGGGTTTTCCTTGTCTTCAGTTCTCACCCATTTAATTGTGCTACATCTCGATAGGATTTCCTTGGTTTGTCCTCTTTGAGGGGTTGCTCCGCTTCTTCAATCTGTAGATTTCCATATTTCACCAAATTGGGGGACTTTTCAGTCATTATTCCTTTGAGCACTTTCCAATCCTATTTTGCCCCCTTTCCTCTGTAGCTCCCATGATGCAAAGTGAGCTGCCCTTTCATCTGGCAGATCCCTGACCCTCACTCCAATTCTTTTCCAGTTAATCTTCTCTCTATTGTTCAGATCAGGCAAATCCCACTGATCTGTCCTGGTGGATCCTGTCCTTTGTCATCACCAGTCTATCTAGCCCATTCAGAGAGTTTACTTAGATCACCTTTAGTCCTCTCCTTTCCGTTTGGTTTTTGATTGTAACTTCCGTTTCTTTGCTGAGATTCTCCCTTTTTTCTGTTTGTTTCTAGCACTGTTACGATGACTGCTTGAACATCTCATCTGATAATTCAGCCTGGTTCTTCTCGGGTTGGTCTCTCTGGGTTGTCTTCTTTCATTCAATTTGAGATCTCCCTTATTCTTGGCATGACTAGTGATTTTTGTACTGGATCCTAGAATTGTTGATATTGTGAGACTTCATAGGTATAGTGAGCTCCTTTTGCAGGCAGCAGTACCCCTGTTGAGGTGTAGCACAAGGCCAGGTGTGTGTGTGTGTGTGTGTGTGTGTGTGTGTGGTGTGTGACTTCCTGCTGGGCCCAGGGGCACCACCCAGGCTACTTGGCCTGTAGGTGGTCTCACTGCAGATGGGCGGGGTGAAGTCCAGCTCTCTCTCAGAGCCCACTTACACCTTACCAGTAACTGGGGTAGCAGTGGGTCTGTTGTCCTGCCTGCCTTCCCTTATTCTTCTGCCCCACTGACACCGGGTGGGAGAGACGCGACTCCCCACCAGGCCTTGCTGGCACGGGGAAGAAGCGGAGCATCAGTTGTTTGGACTCACACCATCTGTTTCTCTCTCCTCCTAGCTCCCAGGTGTGATGGAGGTTCAGCTGGGGAATGGGGAATGGAGAATGCTGCTGAGCCCCTACTCACAACAGTTTCTGGAGAACCAGCCCAGAGGCTAGGGAAGGAGCATTTTTACGCAAATTAACACTAAGGCTCATCTCCTAGGTGGAGCTGTTAAAATATTTCAGACTTTGCCTCCTTCAGAAATAAGTTTCTAATTCCTGAAGTTCAAGTTCCTTGATGGGATCTGCACACCGATTCAGTAATGGACTTCCAGTCAGATGACATGGAGCCCCAATTACCTCCAGATTGAGAGATCAAGTAAATGGGGAATTTGAAACAGCCCCCCTTTGAAATGAAAAGCTCCAAATTGCTCTAACTTCTGAACTGCCTCCCACTGAGAAATCTTCCTCATGCTGAAGACAAACACCAAGGAAATTAAAACTGACATATTTTCTGATTAGCACAGCCTAACTAAATCTACGTATGTATATCACTAGCCTTTTGTGTCTATAAACTAGCCATGCTTCTGCGGGACCAGGAGAGAAGGAATCAAGCCGCTTCTTCCTAGTTTGATCAAATTGCATAAAATTCCTTTTTCTACCATTTGCCCATTTCTTATGTGTATGGACAGATGAATCCAGCAAGCCCAGGATCCAAGTAGTGTCTCTGGGCAAGTTTTAGTAACAGTACCACTGGATAATTCTTGTTGCTGCCAGCTGAGACTGAAGGCTCAACATGGCCCTGGCACTACCTTGTACACTCAGCCCCTGTTTCACCTAGTGAGGTTGTAGAAGACTAGCTCTGTGATTATAATGCCAGATTCGTGGGACCCCAATAGACCTCCAGGAGCCGAATCCGATGCAATCACACAAGAGTCTTTATTGCAAGCTCGAGCTGGACTCACAACGGTTCCGATGCAGTGGTCCCAGGGAGTGAGTCCTGGTCCTTTGTTCAGTGAGGATTTATAGGTTTTGGGGGGATACTCTCTGTATCACATCACACAGCAAATCATTTCATACCACAGGAAAATCAAACAACAACTCTTAACATTGATTAGCACATTCACTGGCGGGAACAAGGTGGGTAAGGGTGATTGGTTGGTTCAAGAGGTGGATACATTTGAACTGACTGGTTAAACTTGCAGGGTTGCCTAATCATCTTATCAATCACTGAAACTACTGGGAGGGTCACCTGGCATTTCAGATATTTTCCCTGTCTCATGCTGATTGGGGGCTGCTAGGGGGTTGCTATGGGTCCTCACCTAGAGCAACTGAGTCAGGGACACCTGGAGCCACAGATCTCTCCTGTTATTTACAGACAAACAACTCAGCAGGGTGGGTACGTGCCTAGGAGGTTCTGTGGGTCTTTCTAAGGACAGGGGTCATGTCCCCTCCCTCTGGACAGGCTTGAGGGTAGAAGCTGGTTTCCCAAAAATGGAGTCATATCAGTTTCTGGTGATCAGCTTGTTGACGTCACCGGGAGGGAATCAGTACGCCACCTACTTCTCAGTGGGCCATTGGTTTCTGCCAGCCACACTGTAGCTTCTGCGGAGCAGGCGGTAGAATGAAAGTTCTCTGTTGAAGAGGATATTCCTGAAGGCTTTCTGTAATCAGGCCACCCTTTCCCTAGTTGCTGACTGGGGAAAGGTTATTTGAAGCTGTTATTATCTGTGCCTGTTGGTGGTTTCAGATAGAGGCTTCCACAGTGGCCTGTCCGAGAGGCAGGGGAACCAACAAAGAATTCCAAAGAGCTCTGGGTGTCCTTCATCAAGCCCCGAGGCAATCCTGCTGCATCTCTCAAAGTCCTCCTGTGCTTATCTGTTCTGTTGGGTACAAGAGGATCTGGGAGGAATGGGGATACTCTTGACCAGAACCCCCTTTGTATGCAGCTTTTTATTCCGATTTTGGAAAATACTCTCTGGGCATGGGGTAGGGAGATACTATTGAAGACAAAGCACAATATAGTTCCACCAAGGAAACAATTATATTTTTCAAGATTTTATTCTCTGAGTCCAAGTGTTCTTAAAATATCCTGCTACCATTATTTGTGAAAATGCATGATGATATTTCCATTTTTGAAGTGTTCTGTTGCAGTACTATTTGATATGATTAATACAAGCTCATTACTGTTGAATCTCTAATGCAACTTAGAGCTTAGTATAAAATGACTCTCTCCATGCTCCTTCCAGTGAACTGTATGATTTTTTAAATGAGATTTTGACCCTCTATGTTATTTGCTCATGCTTTTGCTTTTAACCATTTTAGTTCATTTTGTTTATCTTTTATTACTGAATTTTGGGTTTTATTCCCACTGAGTTTTTATCTTTTGATAGGAAAATTGACCCAACTTCATTTACTGTTACATTTGGCACGTTGGAATTGTCCTCTGTTACCAAGCTTCGTTCTCTCTAATGGGATTTTGGGCGAGGGATTTGGGGTTTCATCCTCCCACCTTCCCCAAATCTCCCCCCTCCCCCGTTACTGTAATTTTACACTGTAGTTGAGAATCGTCATAGCACCTGGAACCTGAGCGGCTTCCTTCCACAGAAAACTAAATGACTAAAGAATCCACTTTGATTTGTGTAATCCCTGTGCTCCCCACTGTGGCCTTGTCATCTGGGAAATCAGGTTCCAAGAAAATGACTCTGCCTTGTTATAAAAGGAGTCCAGGAGAGAGTTCCTTTTTTACCCTGCTTCAGCACGACAGTTTTGAGTCTTTACTTACGTGTCTCTAATTATCTTTTCTTGCAGATAACGATTTTAACTTTTCAGACCCAGAACTTACTAGCGGACTTTTAAAATATGGACTTAATATTATAGTCAGCAAAAGTTTGGGCTACCAGAGAGATGTGCCGGATAGCAGAAATGCCATGTATGTTCCTTCTCCATTTTTTTTTAAATACTAATTAACCAGATTTTAATTCCAGCATTATAGAAGTCTAGTGGTGCAGATTCTTATTTTTAGGATGGGGAGCTAGACAGTGTCAAGATCCTATTTCAAGAGTCCGAAGTGCATAGAGTATGGTCCCCATTGGCACAGCATGCACTCTAGAGGTTTCTGAACATGACGATGCTCATGGTTTTTTTTATTCAGTCACCAGTAAGGGCTTCTGGCCAAATGTGTGTTCATCCTCAATATAAAACTGGTGGTAACATCCATATAAAATTTAACTTCTAGCCATTTTTAAATGTACAATTCAGTAGCATTAACAACTCTTCCATCATTCCAAACTGAAACTCCACATTGTAGCATCTATACATTAACACCTCTTTCATATCATTTAGATTCTAATGGTTTCCAGCAAAGGGGTCTGATATTCTCCTTTAACCAAAAGAAGAGTCCCTGAGTTAAGGAATACAGACTTCTACCAGTAACACAGAGAGAAGCTCCAAGTCCCAGGAAGCAGGAGAATGGGGGGCCACCTTGTCTTGTTGTGACCTGTATGCACCACAAATGTTTGAAACCACCTATAAATGGCCCTGCTGATATGACATACCCAAGAAATATAGCATTTGCCCAGATGACATAGCCTATCTGGGTCATCATAAAGGAAAAGGATAAATGTACTTGGTCTGAATTTAGAGGACAATTTTTTAAATCAACTGAATATTTAACTATCCACAAAGGATGGTCAATACTTTTGAATGCCATTGAGTTATGATTTTCTCCCCATAATTTCTTTATGGGGAGATGGGAACTTGATTGATTCCACATCTTGATCGTGAACTTGGGAGTGCAGCTGTCTTCTCAATATACTGACTTCCTACTCTTTGGATATATCTCCCAAAGTGGGATAGCCACTCATCTGAAATAGTACAAATGTCTTTGCTACCCTTCTACCACCACTTATTATCTATTAAGAAAAAGCTGAAAGTTTAGAGAGATTTGTCTAAAAGAGAAGCAAACTTGGCAGATTTGGTATTTAAAATGTTAACCTATTTAGTAGGAAATTCAGTTCTAACAAAGAACCCCACTCTGTTGGAGAAGAAACCCTTTAACACTAGGAATGACTACCCTACCCAAAGTCCAAGCTAATTTCCAGCCCTTATTGTAGTATCCACATTATTATTCCATTAAATAGAACTTGGATTTCAGTTTTGCCTTTATTTTTAAAATGTAATCTAAATTTTTTACATTGAAAATTAAAATTGTATACATCTATGATGCTTTGAAATATGCACACGCACATATTGTGGAAAGGCTAAATCAAGCTATTTGACACAGGTACTATCTCATACACTTTTTTTTTGAAGGGGTTAAACAAACACTTCAATTCTACTCTTTTAGCAGTTTTCAGGTCCACGTTACATTAACTTAGTCACCATGCTATTCAACAGCTCTCTTGAACTTATTCTTCCTGACAATTTGTAAACTTGACCAACATTTTCCCACCTCCCTCCTTTACCCCTCCCCAGCCTCCCCCTCACTCTCTGCCCCTGTGAGTTCAATCGTGTCACACAGGAGTGAGGTCATGTGGCATTTGTCTTTCTGTTCCTGGCTTCTTTTCACTTAACATAAGGTCCTCGACCAGGTTTCCTTCTTCACTGGAGCTGAATAGGATTCTGCTGCAGGCATCTGCCACATTTTCGCCCGCCATTCCTTCATCGATGGGCACTTGGTTGATTCCACATCTTGATGGTGAACTTGGGAGTGCAGCTGTCTTCTCAGTACACTGACTTCCTTGGATATATCTCCCCAAGTGGGATAGCCAGGTCCTGCTGTTCTCCACAGTGACCGTGCCCTCTCCCAAGAGTGGGCAAGTTTCTCTCTCTCCAAATCTTGTCAGACTTGTTAACGTTCATCTTTCTGATAACGACCCTTTTAACATATATGAGATGATTTCTCACTGTACTTTTATTGTGGGGGGTGGATACCGGGGACTGAACTCAGGGACACTTGACCACTGAGCCACATCCCCAGCCCTATTTTGTATTTTATTTAGAGACAGGGTCTCACTGAGTTGCTTGCCACCTGGCTTTTGCTGAGGCTGGTTTTGAATTTACGATCCTTTTGCCTCAGCCTCCCTGGGATTACAGGTGTGTGCCACCACACCCGGCCTCATTGTACTTTTAATTTGATTTTCCCTTACAATTAGAGATGTTGAGCATTTTTTATATGCCCATTGACATTTGTTTGCCCTCTTTTAAAAATGTCCATTCAGATTTTTTTGTCAGTTATTTAATTATATCACTTGTTTTCTTATTGAGTTGTTTGAGCTCCTTGCATGATTTGGATTTTAATTCCTTATCGGACATGTGATTTGAAAATATTTTCTCCTAACCTGTAGGTCATCTCTCCACCCTGTTGATTAATTTCTTTGCTATGCAGAAGATTTTTTAGTCTGATACCACCCCATCTGTTTATTTTTGTTTTTGTTGCTGTTCTTGCAGGATCGTAGCTAAAGAAAAGCCCATGCCAATGTTGTCTCCTAGTCATTTTGTAGTTAAGGCCTAAGGTTAAAGGGTTGAACAATTTGAAGTAATTTTGAGGAAGGGTTGAAAAAAAGGGCCAATTCCATTCATGTGTGGATATCAGTTTTCCCAGTACAAATTATTATTAGAGAGACTGTACTTCCTCTGACACATTCTTGGCATCTTTCTTGAAAGTTCATTGAGCATAAATGCATTGATTTACTTTGGTATCTCTCTTCTGGTCCATTGGCCTGTGTGTCTGTTTTCATGACCCTGTGGTGCTATTTTGATTATTTTGGCTTCATAGCAGATTTGGAAATCAGGTGATGTGATGTCTTGACTTTATTCCTTAAACTCAAGATTGTTTTGGCTGTTTGAGATCTTTTGTGTTGGCACATAACATTTACAATTTTTTTTCTGTTTCTGTGAAAAATGTCTCTGAAATACTTAAAGAAATTGTGTTAACTCTATAGTCATTTCAGTAGCATAGATGATGATACTTCTAAGCCATGAACATGGAGTATCTTTTCATTTGTGTCTTCAATTTCTTTTATAAATGTCTTGTAATTTTCAATGCATAGATTTTTCATGTCCTTGGTTAAATTTTCTCCTTGGTGGTTTTTTTTTTGTTTGTGTTCGTTGTTGTAAATAGAACTGTTTTCTTACTTTCTTTTTTGAATGGTTCATCGTCAGTGTATAGAGAAGCGACTTGATTTCTGTATGTTGGTTTTATATCCTACAACTTTACTGAATTTATTAGTTCTAACAATTTTTTGGTGGAGTATTTAGAATTTTCTACATATAAGATCATACTGTCTACAAACAGAAACAATGTAATTTCTTCCTTTCTGCTTGTAATACCTTTTGTTAATTTATCTTGTATTGTTATTATTATTATGTTCAATAAAAGTGACAGGAATGGGCATCCTTATCTTGTTCCTGATCTTAGAGAAAAAACTCTCAACTTCTTGCTGTCGGGTAGGACGTGTGCTGAGGGCTTGTGGAGGATGGATGTACATGCTTTCCACATACCTAACCTGCTGATGTAGGATTCTGTCCAGTGCAGCTTCTGCCCCTCTCAGATGATCACATCACCTTTGTCCCTCATTCTGTAGATACGGTATTTCACACTTATGAACTTGCATATGTTTGATCGTCTTTGTATCCCAGAAATAAATTCCACTCGAGCGTGGCAAGTGGGCCATTGAATTTGTTTTGTTAGTATTTTATTGATGATCTCTACAAACTTTTGCAACTGTGTTCATCTGGAATATTAGCCAATAATTTTCTTTTATTGCAGTGTCTTTGTCTGGCTTTGATATCAGGGTAATGCTTGCCTTTTAAAATTAGTTTGGAAGTGTTCCCTCCTTTTCTTTCTTTCTTTCTTTTCTTTTTTTTTTTTTTTAAGAATTTGAGAAAGGTCATGTTCTTCAAATGTTTGGTAGAACATAAAACATTTGAGTATTAAGCCATCTGGTCCTGGGATTTTCTTCAACTGCAGAATTTTATTACTGATTCAATGTCCTCATTATTGGTCTATTCAGATTTTCTTTCTTCTTGACTTAATCTTGGTAGCTTGTCTGTGTCTTGGAATTCACCCATTTCTTTTAGACTATCTAATTTGTTGACTGTAGTGTTCATGGTAGTTTCATGATTCTTTTTGTACTGTGTTGTAAACTTTTTTTTTTCAGATTTTCAAAATTTTATTTTTAAAAATCACTTTCACCCACAAATTTAAGTCTGGAAAAAAAACTGCATAAATATGTGCAGCAGAGCAAATTCATTTTTTAAAAGTTTCATCTTTAAATGTGTTGTAAACTTGAAGGTCTCCTTTTTGTTTCTTGATTCCACTTATTTGAGTCTACTCTGTCTTTTTATTAGTGTACCTAAAAGTTTGTCAATTTTGTTTATTTTTTCAAAAAAAAAAAAACAGCTCTTGGGCTGAGGATGTGGCTCTGTGGTACAGCGCTTGCCTAGCATGCATGGGGCCCTGGATTCCATCCCCAACACCACAAAAACAACAAAACACCTCTTTGTTTTGTTCATCTTTTCTATTCTCTCCCAATCTCTATTTGAAGTATGCATGCTCTGGTCTTTATCATTTCCTTCCTTTTACTAACTGAACTTCATTTTCTCTTCTTTTCTTAGATTCTTGGGATTTAATATGACACTGTTCATTCAGAATCTTTCTTCCTTTTCATTATTAGGTAATAATCACCTTTGTGCATATATATATATATATGTGTGTGTGTGTGTGTGTGTTCACATTTATGTGTGTGTGTGTGTGTGTGTATGTGCTTGTGTTCACATTTATGGAGGAAAGACGTCGGAAATTGCTCATCCCTGGGGTCATTCTTCTTCGCTGGGAGAAGTATTCACATAGGGGTGCACTACGATTTGTTTATTGCTCTACTTACCTGTTGATAAGCCATTGGATTGTTGCCAGTTTCCGTCTGTTAGAAACAATGCTGGTTTGAACATTCTTAGACAAGTTTGGTGTAGCGAGATGATCTTTTTCCCTCTTGGGTAAGTACTTGGAAATGCAAAGGCTGGAGCTTATGGTGTGTGCTTGACCTGGTCCCAGCGCAGGCATATCCTGTGCCTTCTCCTCAGAGCACTGGCAGTTCAGTGTCTGCCTCCTGAGGAATGGTGTTGAGCATCTTTTCATCTGTTCACTTGCCATCTGTGTGTCTCCTTTGTTGAAGTTCAAGTATCTTTGTCCATTTTTAAATTGTGTCATTTGCTTTCTTATTCTTGGGTTTGGGGAGTTCTTTATGGATTCCAGATGGAGGGCCTCTCTCCTCAGCTTGCAGATGGTCATCTTTGGCCTCTGTCTACTCACAGTGTCTCTCCTCCGCATGTGAGTCACTGTATCCAAATCTCCGCTCTGTATAAGGACATGGCCACCTTGCACTGGGTGCATCTTACTAATTACCTCTGGGATAACCCTGTCTCCCGGTCAGGCCACCTTCTGATGACCTGGGGATGGGGACTTCAACAGGGCTGGGGGCAGGGACTCACTTCAACCATAGGGTCCAGCTTTAAGTACACTGTGTGGATCTCAGTGATAGGCTAATAGCAGATGGGCCCACCAGGATGACCAAACACAGGCTTTGTCCAAATTACTTTACCCTTAATTTATTCAGATCAAAAAAGTTTTCTGCAAAGAAATATCACAGCAAAGTTTGTTGATTAATTTTAGAGAAGCGTGTGCGCGCGCACATACACACACACACACACCAGGCTCTCCTGGAGGCCTGTCACCTGTCCTCATATGACAGGATTCAGGCTCCTTCACCATCATCCCACCGGAGGGACAGAGCTCAGCTTTGCTTAAACTGACACAGGAGACTGCAGATGCAGTTCACCCTGAACCACCCTGATTCTTGGTGAGAACCTCCCATGAATTCAGCCTGGCTTCACGGCCTCATCCTCTCTCCCTCCCGCCCTCCCGCTTCTTCTTCTCGTCACTCAGTAGCCCGACTGCAGCTTAGGCCTTTGGGTTCTTCTGCATGCTCCCCAAAGCCACGTCTCCTCAATGCTTCAGCCGAGTGTGGGGAGGACTCGCTGGCTCTTCCTCTCTGCGGGGCCTTTCCTGGCCTCTGTCGTCTCGTGGAGTCTCCGTCCCCTGAGCGCGTCTCCAGCCTCTCTTCAGCAAGCACACCTTGCCCATCTCCACCTGGTCCAGATGAGGCCTCTCCCCCCGTGGTGCCTTCAGGGCTTGATTGTCCTGGAGGCACTGTCCAGGGCTCCTGGAGCTTTGCTCCTCCCGGCCTCCTTTCCCGATTTTCCCCAGGAAGCATGGACCTCTTCACAAGGTTGCAGGGAGGACGACGATTTTCTATTTGCTCCCACTGGCTGCCCCAGTTGATCAGCTCAGGGCTGGCCCCTGAGCCAGGCGGAGCCTGTGACCCCTTGTCCTGTAAAGTTGGATCTTGCTAAAGAAAAGTCTCTTATTCACCCTCGGTGCTGGCCTATGGCTGGTGCCAAGCACATCTCTCACTCTGTGGAGTTGAACAGGTGGAAACACACCCCACTGCAGAGGAGAATCACAGTCACAGAAGGAACATTGCACAAGCACATCTGTCACTTACTGAACCTCCCTTTGATGGAGAGTATGTTGCTTTTCCTTATCATTATTAGTCTCAGATGTAAAGACAAGAGTGGAGAGGGAAGGCCTGTCCAGACGGGCCTCTAGCGTTAGTTCTTTGAGGCTCCAGCTGCCTTCCTATGACTGGGTCCTGTACAACGTACCTCCTTAGCTAACTTAAGCTCCACTGGATTTCTGTAATTTACAACCAAAAGATTTCAAAATATAACCAAATAGTAATATAACCATCCAAACAAAAATAGTCAATAACGCACATTTACTCGAGTTCTGTTTTCCCCTCATTTGCACAAGATAAAATAAAACCTTTTTGTCAAATAGTTAGAAGAAATTCAGTTACACCATAATCTACTGCACTTTTTGCTACACCAGACAACAATGTTGAAAGAGTTTTCTTTGAAGATAGTCTAAATAAACTTAGTGGGACCCTTTCAACATGCGTATGAGTTCAATGATTCATTTTTACAATGAAAGCTAAAATGAGGGTATAATTTGTGCTTATATTTAGAGTAGAACTAAGACCATCAAAACAGTGTCAGAGCAATCATGGGGAAATGATCTCCAAAACTTAGCACGATGTCAGAAGTCAAGGAAAGGTTTGGATCTTAATTTTTGCACTTGGAGATTCCTGTCGTCCTATTGTCATAATCGTCAATAAAGGAGTAAAGGGTGGTGGTTGGAAATGGGGAAGGGTGTCTGAAGGAGGCCCCAAAGCATTCGGGGCTTTTGGATGAGTCACTTTCTCCCTATTATTTATTCCTGCAGATGTCTGGGGAAACAATACCCAACGAACCTGCCCACTGCCAGCGTCGTCATTTGCTTCTATAATGAGGAGTTTCACGTCTTGTTCCGGACAGTGTCCAGTGTCATATATCTCACCCCATCGCACCTCCTGGAGGAGATTATTTTGGTGGACGACCATAGCGAGTATGGTAAGATGGACGTGGGTTGTCTGACCTGCCGTGAAGGTGTAGCCTCCCTCGGGACACTGGAGTGATTCACCCAGCAATGCTCTTGGCGGGTGCCTAGGCAGGCACTGCGCGGGGTACCATGGGTGCCTATGGTGGATCTGGAGGACCTGGCCCCTGTCCTGATGGGCTTCCGCAGAGCCTGCATGGGAGCACCAGCCTCGTCCTTGGAGACCACTTCAGGATGAAATGGCCTCTAAGCAAATGTCACTCCAAAATATGGGGAGCGATTGAGGCTTCAGTGCAGGGAAAGGACCTGGCCCAAGCCCTTCATGTGGAGCATTCCAATTGGACCAGCTCAGCTAAGTGCTTGTTTTCCATGCGTACTGGTTTTTAAGGACCAAATCTGGTTAAAACCCCTTAGAATCTGAAATGAGGTGTCTGCTTACAACCGAGAACAAACCGTCGGTGAGCCAGGCATGCTGAAGCAACATTGCCAACATGAAACAGGCTAGGCGGGAAGTCCACCCGCCCCACTGAGTCTGACCTGCTATGGTGCACTCCGTCCCCTTCATAAGAAACTAGAGGGGTCACTGCTGAGGGCCAAGACCTGGGGGTGCTGCCAGACCAGACACCTTTACTCCTCCTCAACCTGGGCTTTGGACCCCAGTAGAACCTCAAACACAGGGCCCAGGGCCTGGGTCCCGATGGAGCTCAGGACTGAGACACCCTGCCTTGACTTCACAATGGCTGCGTCACAGATGGTCGGGCAGTGTGCTGAACTAAAGCCTGTCTGACTCCCATGGGCGCTGCCAATGGCTACCCTCCACCTTTCCTACCGCCCTGTCCCACCAACCACATGACTGTCTTCTGAAATGTCCAAGCCCCAGCCACTTGGGGTCAGTGATCATGCTGCCAGTTTTGTGCTTTTCCGCCCCAAGTCTGGGCTCCCAGAGCCCCTGTGCCCTGGGTGCTAGAGAGTTTTGCAGAGAGCTGAACTGAGATGCCTCTGACAGGGCCCTGGCCATCTTTAGAGAGAGGAGGGACACACTGCCTTCGCCACTGTCACTGAACCTGCTCCCACTGATCCCAGCTCCACATCCATGCACCGAGCTGAGGAATCTAGTGCTCTACCACACCTGTGTCCACCCATCCCTCCGGAGCTGCCGCTCACGTCACCATGCTAGCCTCTAACACTGAGTGACTTCTAGGTGCCAGGTTCTGTGCGGGGCGATCTCTTCCTCTCACTAGAGGAACGTGGTGGGCATCCCTTCTCACAGATGAGCAAACGGGGACTGGAGTGTGTTGGCAACTTGCCCAAGAGTCACCACAGGGTGAGAAGCCTAGCTGATCACGGTACAATCTGGTCGATGAGTAGCAAAGTGCCGTAACTTATGCTTTTTCTGTTAAAATTTTAATAGTGATTGATTAAAGCAGAGGTGTTTTATTGGTGATTTTGATGATGAATCACTTGTCTTTCTCTCCCTTACAGAAGACAAAATTTTAAAGTCAAAACTTTTGTGGAATAGTACTGTTTTTAGGAACCCATCCATAATGATGATAAGTTGCTTTAATTTCTACAGTTGCTGTTTATAAATTGTCAGGTGTTGGATATTTTTCTAGATGATTTGAAAGAAAAACTAGACGGCTACCTGGAAACTTTTCGGGGGAAGATCAAACTAATTAGAAACAAGGAGAGAGAGGGGCTGATTCGATCCAGAATGATTGGAGCAGGACATGCTTCAGGTATGGACGTCCCTCAGGACACGAGCCACAGTGTGCCTTGCAGCTCCCTCCCTCTGTCAGCGGGTTCAAGCCTTAGACCCTCTGTTGGCTCTGAAAGTGTTCTGCTTCCAAATGTTATGTTATTTCAAATGGAAGATATTCTTTTGCAAAATCCTGAATGCCAAGCCCTGTTACCGACCCAGTTCCCCTGGGTACAAATTCTGAGTCTTTTCGGTGTGGGCCACCCAGTGGGAAAACACCTGTACAGGGTTCAGGTTTCTGGCCTGGCACATGTGCAGGAAGAGAGGGATGGAGGGAGGTTGGCACTGAAGAGCTTGGGATTGCAGTGTGGCTCTCAGAGAGGCTAATGGGCTGGTTGCCTTGAAGGATCCTGAATGGCCGGAATGACCCGTCTCTGGGTCCCCTTCCTACACACGCACACATGCGTACACACACACACACACACACACACACACACACACACACACTGTGCTCAGTCACTCTGGGAATGCCCTGAGGGGAACGTGACCTTGACTGAACCGCCGTAGACCCCAAAGCTTGGGCAGCATGGAGGTGTCCAATCTACATGTTCTCCTGAAGGGTGATCTGAGCAGCACAGGCCCAGGGCCAATGAGAGAGGTCCCAGATCCAGGTAGGGGAACCAGACGTGGACCAGTGATCAGAGATGAGCCCCTCACCCGCAGCAGGTCATCACAACACACTCGGTAGCCATGGTCGGCCAAGGGCATCAGCCACCCACACTGCTGGGCAGCTGAGCCCGGCCAGATCCGAGCACCTCCCCAGAGGCGCCTCCTCCTCAAGCTTCCCGCCAAACCTGCCTGATCACAGGGTGTTTGTAGAACAGGAAACGAGAAAAGAAGAGAGGTCCCTTTTAAGGACATTTTATCAGTCCACACTGCAATTGGATGTCCCTGCTCCCTAGCAGGAAGTACCTTCTTGTTGAATGAAAGGCCAAATAAAAGTAAATTTTGATTCTCTTTTTTTTTATACTCTTTTTCTAAGTTGGACTGATCAGTGGAGATGTTCTCTTAACTACAAAGATAATACATACTCATTATTCAGAACTCAATACAAACCACCAACACAATGTAGTCCGTTGGAGCATCAAAACCAACTTTATACAGTTGTCACCCTTAATCCACAAGACAGTTCAAGACTCCCCAGTGACCTGAATCTACATATTCATGAGGACTGTGTTTCCAGGGTTCATCTGTCTTTCGCTACCTTTGTGCTCTGAGGCTATCATTAAATAAAATAAGGGTTCCCTGAACACAAGTTCTGTGACACCACAACTATCCTCTGAAACCCAAGAAAGCTACTCCTCCTAACTTGCAGATGTCATGTACAGCATGAATACACTGCACAAAGGGATGTTAGGTGCTGGGTGGGCAGAAAGGGGTAGGTGAGATTTCTTCACCCTCCTGGGAGTAGTGTGCCCTTGAAAACTTATGAATTGTTTATTTCTGCAATTTTCCAGTTAGTATTTTCACACTGTAGTTGACAACAGGTAACGAAAACACAAACTCAACCACAGATCAGAGGGGAACACTGTCTGAAAGAGCAAACCCCCACTCCTCTCTGTCCTCCTTACTCCAGTTTCTTTTTCTTCATACTGTTTATTGCTATCTGTCCCTTTGGTGGGGGTCAGTTTGCTGGCCAGTTGCCCATAGATTACAGGATGGACACTGCATTTCAGAAATACAGGTAGCTTACTCCACCAAGGAGAACGAGGAAGGTTTGTACGGATTTTGCAAAGTGAAGAAGTAAGAAAGGGAATGTTATGATCAGATGGACTGTAATATACCTAAAGGAAAGATTATTTTGTTTCCCCCCCCCACACACACACACACCACCACCCATGGGAACAGAGACTCTGTGGTTTGGAAGTAGCTATGGGTAACTAGGAAATGCCAGTAACCAAATGCAATGTGTTCACACTTGGGTGACTGCAAAGCCAGACAGCAGTGCTTCCTCAAACAAAGGAAGCAAGGGAATTTTACTCACCCTGGAGTGGCACCCCAGGTGTAAGCAGGGATTGCCACAGGCACAGCGCATGGCAGATGGGATTGCCTCTGAGGTGGGGGATTTGGCATTGCATTGAGGTTATAATGGGCAGAGTTCACTCTAGGTCACCTAGAAGGGAAGCCAGGCGGTTCTGTCTGGTTTAAGTTGGTCCCTGTGGCTTTCTCTGGAGGGCCTTATCTGCAGGACAACTGGAAGGACTGCTAGCAGTCAGCACCTCCTTCCCAAAAGCACTGTGTTGGGCCATAGCAGCTGACATTGCCCCTAGGTGTGGGCTTCACCCAGGTAGGTGATGGAAGGACTTTCTATGGCCAGCATGCCTGGGGAGCAGTAGCTTCTACAGAGATGGTCTTCACCCAAAACAAGATCGTAAGAGAATTTGATGAAAAATCAATGTGGAAAGGAAAAGAGGGCTGTCCATAGGAAGAAAAACCTGGGGAAATAAGTAGCTGAAGTTGGAAGTCCCTCCTGCCTGGAATGTGTAGAATGTATTTTATGACACCGAGCTGGCTTGGGCCCGGCCACTCCCATGTTGTCTAAGCAGAACAGACCCTCATTAAAACTTGCACTCAGGCCTGCGATGTGGCTCAGAAGCAGAGTGCTGGCCTAGGAGGTATCAGGCTCCGGGTTCCTTCCCCCGCACCACAATAAATAACGCCACGGTGAGGCTCGAGTTAAGACGAAACAAAACTTGACCTCAGAGTAAAAAGCTTTATGCACCTTTGCATCGAAACCACCAAACCGGTGCCTGAGAAGGTATCATCTCAGGAAGCATTTGCTAAATTAAGTGGGTCATTTAGTGAAACTAAAATGACTTTTAAAAATTGAAGCCCAGCTCAGTTCCACCTGCTTCTTTAGGGTTTTTCCCAAACCAGCCTCTAGCCCAGTTCGCCAGCTTCCTCTGAACACCCCAGCTCATGGTGTCCCGCCTTTTCCGACATGATAAAGTACGCGCTTCCTGTTTCCTCCAGGGCCAACACGGGGAATGTTCCGCAGGTCCTCTCTGCATCCTGTTTGGGTTTGGTTGTCCCGAGTCTTGCCCTGGTGGATTAGCGTCACTCTGTTCTTGCCTCCCCAGGGGACGTTCTGGTGTTCTTGGATAGCCACTGCGAGGTCAACAGAGTCTGGCTGGAGCCCCTGCTGCAGGCCATCTCCAAGAACCCCAAGATGGTAGTGTGCCCTCTGATAGACGTCATCGACGAGATGACCTTTGAATACAAGGCCTCTCCTCTTGTAAGGGGCATTTTTGACTGGAACCTGCAATTTAAATGGGATAAAGTTTTCTCTTATGAGGTAGAAGGACCAGACGGACCAAGTAAACCAATCCGGTGAGATTTCTTATGGTTAAGGGGAAGCGGCATATGTATATTGGGATCTGAGAAAGAAACTTTCCGATATTCCCTAGATTTCTGGGACTTAATGAAGGTTTGCTTTGTTGCTTGTTTCTTAAACTCCTCCTGAGTGCCAGATTTGGGTAGATGTTAAGTTTCTATAATTGAAAATGTGAATCCCGGTTTGGAAAACCACCACGGTTAGTAAGGATGCCTCTGATCCCTGATTCCCCTCTTTAGAACACGGGCTTCGACGTCAGGAACCACCTGGGTGCTGATCCAGGAACAAAAGGCCAAGTTAGCCCAGAGGAAAATGCACATATCAAACATTATCCAAGTGTTTTCACCTGTGATTTCATTGGCTGAGATGAGCCTGGTTTTCCTAGCTTGTTCACTGTGGAAAATATATTTTAAAATGGAAGAGCAGCTGAATTGGCTATTAATTCTCACTTGGTTGTTTTGAATGCTGGGACTTCTGGCTGCATTTACGAGGTCAGTCCTGAAGAGCTTCCTTACTGATACCTTGGTGCCAGACTCATCCCTCGTCACAAATCACATGAAAGTTCCAACTCTGTAGGCCAGCGAGTCCTTACCTGCACCTCTCTTCTAATTCAGTTACAGCAAGTCACCAAGCCTCTCCGCCTCGGATTCCCTCCCTGTCACATCTGGAGACTAATACTTCACGGGGTTATTAGGAGACGTAGGTGTGTACAAAAGTTAGCTTTGTTACATTGTCAGCTAAGATGGCAACCTTGGTATCTCTCGGGCTCCCATCTCTGACTACGGGACACGGTATCCTTCTCTTGGACCACCCAGCGTCTTCCTGGCCTGGCTTTTCTGCTCTGCTTCTTGGGCACCATCCAGAACACCAGCCTTTTGATTTCTCCTTTATCCCCTCAGCATTTTCTTCCTTCTCACATGTCCTGGATCTTCTGATCTATGCATTTGCTTCTCTTGCCTGCACCACGGTGGCTGAGCCACTTTACTTCTGCCACAAGCTCTGCCCATCTCCGACACAGGACCAACCCCATCCTCTGTTCCCTTTGTTCTTCTGTGTGACCTGACATATTCTGCCAAAAACTTAAAAGATGTGCCCCAACCCTAACCCTGCTGCCCTGGAGAGCCTTATTCACTCATTTTTCCCCAGTGGCTAGAAAAAAAATCTTGATTTCTTTCCTTAGTCCACCTACCTGCCAACCTGAACACCCTACCCTTGATGAGCAACCTTACCTCTGACTTAAAAGATGAAACCAAGACTAAAAAAAAACTGAAAGGAGCCAGGTGCACTGGCTCACCTTTGTAATCCCAGCGACTTGGAAGGCTAAGGCAAGAGGATGGCAACTTTGAAGCCAGCCTCAGCAATTTAACCAGGCCCTGTCTCCAGAGTGCTGCTGAGGATGTGCAGAAACTTGATATAGGTTATGTAAAACAGTATGGTGATCCCTCAAAAATAGACCCCTCTACTGGCTATAGACTCAAAGGAAATCATATGGGTACACTGAAGAGACATCTGCACTACTCCCAACAGCCAAGAATCAATCTAAATGGCCATTGATAGATGGGTGGATAAAGAAAATGTGGTACAATGGAATATTATTCAGCCATAAAAAGGTGAAATGCTCATTTGCAACCATGTGGATAGACCCCTAGGATATTGTACCAAGGGAAATGAGCTAGATGCGGAAAGACAAGTGCCATAGGACCTCACAGGGACCTAAAAAACACAGATCTCAAGGAAGTGAAGAGTCCAACCGTGAACCCCAGAAGCCAGGGAGGGAATGGAGAAGGCAGGAGAAGGGGGGGTCAGCCAACAGGGCAGAGCCGCAGTCAGGAGGAGTAAGTTTGGGGTTCTGTTGTCGGGCAAGGCAGGGAACTGTAGTTCAGAATAATGTACAGCATGTTCCAGAATAGCTAGAAGAAAGAATTCCAAATGTCCCGCCATAAAGTCATGATACTGCTTGTGATAATGGACACACTCACTGCCCTGACCTGAACATTGCACAGTTCATACATGCAGAACACACTAGTGTTGTGCCCCCAAAGTGTAGACAGTTCCTACAGCTCAACTACAAATGAAACACATACGAAGAACATGATGTTCACATAATTTGGTGAGAGCTAAGTAAATGTCATTGACTACTTTTAAGTGACTGTAGTTTAAACTTAGTAATTTCACACACTTAGCTGGATGTTAAGATAATGTTGGTATTGATACAGTTGCTTCCTAGTTTCTAACTAAGTTACACTAATATTCAATATAATTTTTAGGAAAACTCACGATTACTATCTTTTTTTATTCTTCCCAGGTCACCTGCCATGGCCGGAGGGCTTTTTGCTATAAATCGGCATTATTTTTACGAAATTGGACAGTATGACAAGGGCATGAATTTTTGGGGAGGAGAAAATGTGGAGATTTCACTAAGGGTAATTTGAACTTTTTTTTAAAAAATAGTTACCTTTTTATAGAGAGAGCAAAATTTGACTTTTAGTCATGTAAATGATGTGGTAATTGTGTTCAGTTTTCCTCCCTGAGCATCCAGGCCCCCTCCAGCGTCACCTGCAAACAACAATGAATGGGGCTCCTTGCAAAAACTGAAAACTTTCAACATTAAATTCTCTCCCCGTGGGGCTGGGGA